ATATAAGTTTTATTTTAATAAAAGTAATAGCTATAATATTATTCTATTATTTAAAAGCATAAAAAGACTAAAATCACCAGGACTTGACAGGGCGAGCTATAGACAGTCAGCCAGCCCGCCCATCGCCATTTTGTCAAGCATCAGCCTCGTATCGCACTGCACCGACGGCAAGCGATGCGCATGCCGACCTGATCCCCCCATGGACCTGGACTAGCAACCCGATTGGCGAGCTCTGTGCAGCCCCTGGCCACTGCACTGTTCGCAGGAGGCGAGCCAGTGTGTCTACGGCGGGATGAAGCTACGCTGCGCTGCTCGGTCCAGGATCCGAATGGACTGGATCGCTATGGCGAGGAGAGGGAGGAGGCGAGGCGGGCGGGCCGTTGGCGGGCAGCAGAGTCAGTCACAGCCACAGCCACGGCCATCGGCATCATCGTGGGCGTCACCATGACCATGGGGGGCCTCGACAGCGACGATGGACGTGGCAATGCACTCCAATGCCATTGCCATTGCCATTGTCACTGCCACTGCCCCCTGTTGGCTGCTGTATGGACACCCGCGCGGGCGGATCGGATCTGACAAGCTCCTGGCCCGACGCGCGGGACCCTTCCCCTTGTCCCTGTCCTGTCCCCATCGCCGTCCCTGCGAGCCATCGCACCGCCATCCGCGTGGCCAGCAGCCGTAGGGCTGAGAGAGGCCTGCCCGCCCGCCAATGTCATCGCCAATGCCAATGTCACTCGGGCTGGAAATGGCGATACCGCTGGCCAGGCCGCATCACGGGTGGTCAGTGTCAGGGGCTGCCACTGCCACTGCCAACGCAATGCTCGACTCAGCTCAGCCTTGGCCGTGATCGGCAGGCGGGCTGGTCAGTCGCCCTCTGACGGCCGACGATGGGCAGCGAGCGAGCGAGACCGTGTCGGCCACCCGGCCGACTACTCTGGCCATGCCATGCCACGCCGTATCTCGTCTCGTCTGGCCGTCCCTGTCTCTGTCTGTCGCTGCCTGCCTTCTGATTGGCGATATGGGTTCGGGGTACTGCACCCGGTGCTGCGCCTGCTGGGTACGCTTCCGTCCTCCGCCAGCATCGCGACTCGCACGCTGCAATGGCCAGAACCTAGCACCATCAGCACCACCAGCATCAGCATCAGCATCAGCACCAGCATCAGCACCGCCGTCGCAGCAGACACAGTCACGGCCCCGGTCACGTCACGGTGCCGATCACGGTGGCCATTCAGCAGGGGCGGCGGCAGCGGCGGCGGCGCGACGACAGCGATAGCGTTGGACTGGCTTGGCTGGCCTGACCTCCCGCCTGGCATCGCATGGCATGGCATGACTTGACTGACTAGCATGGAGGAGCAGGCTGGCAGCGCGGTATATTATATATACATCTCGGCAGCGTTGTGCATTCCCTGCGACTCCTGGCCACGCTATAACGTCTGGACATCGAAGGGAATCGCATCGCAGCTGCACAGTCCTACAGAGCTACCAGAGCCACTGCAACGCCGAACAGGCTACCAGGAGACGACAGCATCGTCCCCTCCTCCTCCTCATCAAGACAGCTGCCCCTGCCCCTGACACACACGCCCCGTATCCATAATTGCATCGCGAGCCGGCCAGCCCGCCATGTCGCGGCAGCCCGAGCCGACGTCGACGTCGACGCCGCCCTCGACGCCGCCCGGTGGGGACGCCCAGCGGAGGATCCACCAGCACATTGCGGCGTGGTATGTCGTCTCGATCTCGACGCTGATGAGCCAGGCAAGGCAGGAAGACCACCGTCAAGGCGGAGCTGTCAGGTAAGGCGTCTGATGCAGCTTGCTGTACAGTATGTCGCTGGCAGGAGTGCCGCGTCGTTCGCTGCTAGCCAGCACGTCCACGTCCACGGGCACGTCCACGGGCACGGCGCGGGCTCGACGAGGGCGACAGAAGGCCGAACACAGATTAATTGCTGCGTGCGCTGCCTGTTGTTCAGCAATCACAGCGAGGCGCAGCGGGGATTCGATGCTGGTCCGTGCTGACGTGAGGACCTGCAGCAGCTGCGTGGTGCTCGGCGGCGTGCGGCGCGGTGGCGGTGGCGGCGTCGTTGGAGGGGGAGTGGAGGGGATAGCACCACGACGCCGGTCAATGGGGGAATGAGGGACTCGTGATGTGTCTGGCGTCTTGCCCCGATACTGTCCCTCTCTCTGCGTTCTTGATGCCGTCGTCCTCACTCATCCTCGCTGTCCTCGCTGTCCTCGTCGTCGTCGTCGTCTTTTTGCGGGATTCGCCTTTTTTTGCTGCGCGGTGGTTCGCGCTAGGCCGGAACAGGCAGGCAGACGGTAACTCCGTCTCGAGCGATCCTCGCCAATGCAAACGTACTATGTGCACTCTGCTCAGTCGACGGTGCATGCTATGAGCGAGGCCACTCCCACCTGCGTTGGTGCATCGAGCCATTGACGCGACAATGTCTGACAAGGTGTCCTCAGGCTGTCTCGGCATCGCCGCTCAGGGTGGCTTGCCAGGGACACGCGAGAGAAGTAGAAGTCGTATAGTGCCCGGCATCGGGGGTCACACTATACCTCTCCTCGACCGCTGGTGTGCGACCGCTGGTGTGCAACCGCTGCAGCGCCATCATAGGTGGCTCCGGCAAGATGCGCTGTCATTGAATGACTGCTGGCTGCTGGCGAGAGACGCTTACCTTCTCCTTCACAGCCGGAAATTTACAGCCAGAGAGGACAAATTTATCTCCCGACTGAGGCAGCTGCCACAACGCGCTGACTATAGGGCGCTTGAGTGAGGTACAGTGTATTCAGGCAAGATGGCCGAGTTGGTCCATGGCGTCAGGTTAAGGTTGATTGGTCGAAATCTCCGCATCCTGATCTCCGCAAGGGGGCGTGGGTTCGAATCCCACTCTTGTCATTATCCTTTTTTGGCCACCAGGCCGGCACTTCATACCGCCGTCATCAGAACGTCACGACTCTCACTCCACTCCACTAGAGCAGCTCCATATACGACAGTGGAGGTCTACGCATGCCATTGACCATCCCCATCCATTGATACCACTCAGACCATCGCTAACCCTCGCTACATATCTCTTATCCCCTCTGCCTACCTCACCATATCTCCCAATTGCGCCCTAGTCCATTCCACCGCCATTGCTACCGCCGCGACCACCTCCACACACCATCCCATCCCACCAACTCCGCCGACACCGCCGACATCGCCGACACCGACTCCGCCATGTGGTCCTGGTTTGGGGGCTCGTCCGCGCAGGCACGCAAGGACGCCCCCAAGAACGCCATCCTCGGCCTGCGCGAGCAGCTCGAAATGCTGCAGAAGCGCGAGCGGCACCTGGAGAACCAGATGGCCGAGCAGGAGGCCATGGCCAAGAAGCACGTCACGACCAATAAGGCGGGTGAGATGCGTCACCTCAATGCTGAATGTCCGGATGGATGGACAGATGAGGCTAACCAACTGCCTGGTGGGCCTGACAGCCGCCAAGAACGCCCTGCGACGAAAGAAGATCCACGAAAAGTCGCTCGAGCAGACCTCCGCCCAGATCCTCCAGCTCGAGTCGCAGATATACTCCATCGAGGCCGCCAACATCAACCAGGAGACGCTGGCCGCCATGAAGAACGCCGGCAAGGCCATGAAGCAGATCCACAAGGGCATGACGATCGAGGAGGTCGACAAGACGATGTGCGTACAACTACTTGCGAGCAGTGCCACTCCGTACCAGGAAGACTGCAGACTAACCACCGCCCCATGTACTTCCATGCAGGGACGAGCTGCGCGAGCAACAGCAACTCAGCGAGGAGATCGTCAACGTCGTCACCAGCGGGCCCGTCGGCGGCGACATCATCGACGAGGACGACCTGCAGGGGGAGCTCGACCAGCTCGAGCAGGAGAACGTCGACGAGCGCATGCTCAAGACCGGCACCGTGCCTGTTGCCGACCGTCTGAGTGGGCTGCCTGCCGCCGCGAGGGCTGAGCGTGCGTATTCACCTGTGGCGTCGCGTGCGTATCTGCATCTGTGCATTGCTGCTAACATTACCCTGTATCGGCTGTACCAGCCAAAGGCAAGGCAGCGGTGCAAGAGGAAGACGACGAGGAGGCCGAGCTCGAGAAGCTGCGCGCTGAAATGGCCCTGTGAGGCCGTTCCGCTTCCGTCAGCTGCGATAAGACAGTCGTCGTGACGGCCAAAGCTGTCATGCTTGACTGCGAGACATGCTAGCCGCCGTCACCGTCACCCCCAGGATGACTTCAACGCTCCAGCGCACGCCACAGCTGCACCAACTGTTCTGAGCCGGCTTCAGGCCGCCTACCAGCCAGTCATGCGGCATGATGGGGCATTCTGATGAAGCGACTCACACCCGCTGCCGGTGCGCCGGATACACGAAGACCGGTGCACGCACCAGCGCAACTCGTGCTGACAGCGTCCCGACCATTGGCGCCACCTGCGTTGGCGGAGTGGCGGCCCTGAGGAAATTGCACGCTGCATAGGCAGGCGGAAAGAGGACGTGACCACTCACCAGCCTCCTGCAGTCCTCACCCCCGCTCCGTCGTCCCCGTCCCCGTCGTCGTCCTCGTCATCATGGTCATCGGCCGCGGCAACGACTCCTGCCGCGACTGCGGCGGCGACAGCAGGTACGACGGCTGGCTATGACTCTGAGTAGTGTCTCCCTCTCCCATTCCCTCCCCCGTCACCTCTCCAATCTCCGCGTACCGCCCCTCCTCGTGCTCCTCGTCCGGCACGACGGCGAGCTTCGGATCTGGAATCTGTATATCAATCGACATGTAGCCCGTGCTTCTCAGCGACCATATCCTGACCCCGCTGCCCTCGCCGACCTGTCTGTTCCACCGCGCCAGCCAGTCCTCCACCTGCAGCAGCGCCTTCTTGACCGCCGTCCGCCCCAGATCCTCCCACACCCACCCGGTCACGAACCCCAGCACGCCGTCGAGCCAGCTGCGCGGCGCGAACGGGTCGTAGGCCGCGACCAGCGCCTCGTTGACGTGCGCCACCACGCGCCGGAACTCGCGCTCCGGCAGCACCGGCTCCAGGATCTCGGGGTACAGGTTCGAGAACGTCGGCGCCAGGTCGCCGCGCAGCATCCAGTCGCGCCGGATCCGGATGATGCGCGTGCTCAGGTACTCTGCGCTGCGCATGGGCACGTGCGGGTTCATGTGCGGGTAGCAGGGGTGCTCGGGGCCCCAGGGGATCTCGTCGTCGTGGTCGTCGCGGTCGTCGTGGTCGCCGTCGTAATCGCCCTCGCGACTCTCGTCCATCTCAGCTCGGCTGCCGCCTGTCGGGCGATCCGACATGTCATGGTGGCTCTCGTAGGCGGCGACGGCCAGAGACGAGGCCGACGGCTCGAACAGCATGGGCCCGCCGTAGCCGTAGGTGGAGGACTGGAAGGTCGAGCTGGAAGGCTTATGGGCTGGCTCGCGCAGCAGCGCCATCGTGTAGTGGCGCACAGCGACTGCAAGCCTGGTGCTGATGCTGGTCAGATCTCTGCGTGGCGGTGGCAGTGGCAGCCGTGGCGGCGTCCGGAACAATCAAGTGCATGCGCAGCTTGTGGCCGGCGGTGCCAATCCTGCGTTCACCGCCCTATACCTTAGCAATCCACTACTGTGCTAGCTGCAGGACTAGCTCTGGCCGCTCGCTGATCAACGGTGAATTTTTTCTCAGTTAGGTACTAACCACTCGTCAGGCGCTGAAAGAAGTATGTGCAATAAGTTTGGTTAGGTTTGTAATATAAATATATTTAGTTATTTATTTATAAACTTATAATCTTCGTATGCATGACTTTAATTGGTGTTAAGTCGAAATACGGTTGTTGTACCGGAAGGTGCAGCGGATGTATAAAAAGTAACAGTAAAAAGGGGCATTAA